TTCGTTCCAGTCATTGACAGCAGAGAACTGGAAGGAATGGCGGCCAAAGGAGGTGTTGGCTTTGGGGATGACCAGTGAGATATACCTGCTGGAGTGCAGACTACGGGTGGGTGTTGCTATGGTGACCAGTGAGCTAAGATAAGACAGAGATTTGCCTAGCAGTGATTTATAGATGACCTGGAGCCAGTGGGTTTGGCAACGAATATGTAGTGAGGGCCAGCCAACAAGAGCGTACAGGTCACAATGGTGGGTAGTATATGGGGCTTTGGTGACAAAATGGATGGCACTGTGATAGACTACATCCAATTTGCTGAGTAGAGTGTTGGAGGCTATTTTGTAAATGACATCGCTGAAGTCAAGGATCGGTAGGATAGTCAGTTTTACGAGGGCATGTTTGGCAGCATGAGTGAAGGAGGCTTTGTTGCAAAATAGGAAGCCGATTCTAGATCTAACTTTTGATTGGAGATGCTTAATGTGAGTCTGGAAGGAGAGTTTACAGTCTAACCAGACACCTAGGTATTTGTAGTTGTCCACATACTCTAGGTCAGACCCGCCGAGAGTAGTGATTCTAGTCGGGTGGGCGGGTGCAAGCAGTGTTCGGTTGAAGGGCATGCATTTAGTTTTACTAGTGTTTAAGAGCAGTTGGAGGCTACGGAAGGACTGTTGTATAGCGTTGAAGCTAATTTGGAGGTTTGTTAACACAGTGTCCAATGAAGGGCCAGATGTATACAAAATGGTGTCATCCGCATGGAGGTGGATCCGAGCGTCACCAGCAGCAAGAACGACATCATTGATATACGCAGAGAATAGAGTCGGCCCAATAATTGAACCCTGTGGCACCCCCATAGAGACTGCCAGAGGTCCAGACAACAGGCCCTCCGATTTGACACATTGAACTCTATCTGAGAAGTAGTTGGTGAACCAGGCGAGGCAGTCATTTGAGAAACCAAGGCTATTTAGTCTGCCAATAAGAATGCGGTGGTTGACAGAGTCAAAAGCCTTGGCCAGGTCGATGAAGACGGATGCGCAGTACTGTCTTTTATTGATCGCGGTTATAATATCGTTTAGGACCTTGAGCGTGGCTGAGGTGCACCCATGACCAGCTCGGAAACCGGATTGCATAGCGGAGAAGGTACGGTGGGATTCGAAATGGTCGGTGATCTGTTTGTTAACTTGGCTTTGAAAGGGCAGGATGGATATACAGTGGGGGAAAAAAGTATTTAGTCAGCCACCAATTGTGCAAGTTCTCCCACTTAAAAAGATGAGAGAGGCCTGTAATTTTCATCATAGGTACACGTCAACTATGACAGACAAATTGAGGTAAAAAAATCCAGAAAATCACATTGTAGGATTTTTTATGAATTTATTTGCAAATTATGGTGGAAAATAAGTATTTGGTCACCTACAAACAAGCAAGATTTCTGGCTCTCACAGACCTGTAACTTCTTCTTTAAGAGGCTCCTCTGTCCTCCACTCGTTACCTGTATTAATGGCACCTGTTTGAACTTGTTATCAGTATAAAAGACACCTGTCCACAACCTCAAACAGTCACACTCCAAACTCCACTATGGCCAAGACCAAAGAGCTGTCAAAGGACACCAGAAACAAAATTGTAGACCTGCACCAGGCTGGGAAGACTGAATCTGCAATAGGTAAGCAGCTTGGTTTGAAGAAATCAACTGTGGGAGCAATTATTAGGAAATGGAAGACATACAAGACCACTGATAATCTCCCTCGATCTGGGGCTCCACGCAAGATCTCACCCTGTGGGGTCAAAATGATCACAAGAACGGTGAGCAAAAATCCCAGAACCACACGGGGGGACCTAGTGAATGACCTGCAGAGAGCTGGGACCAAAGTAACAAAGCCTACCATCAGTAACACACTACGCCGCCAGGGACTCAAATCCTGCAGTGCGAGACGTGTCTCCCTGCTTAAGCCAGTACATGTTCAGGCCCGTCTGAAGTTTGCTAGAGTGCATTTGGATGATCCAGAAGAGGATTGGGAGAATGTCATATGGTCAGATGAAACCAAAATAGAACTTTTTGGTAAAAACTCAACTCGTCGTGTTTGGAGGACAAAGAATGCTGAGTTGCATCCAAAGAACACCATACCTACTGTGAAGCATGGGGGTGGAAACATCATGCTTTGGGGCTGTTTTTCTGCAAAGGGACCAGGACAACTGATCCGTGTAAAGGAAAGAATGAATGGGGCCATGTATCGTGAGATTTTGAGTGAAAACCTCCTTCCATCAGCAAGGGCATTGAAGATGAAACGTGGCTGGGTCTCTCAGCATGACAATGATCGCAAACACACCGCCCGGGCAACGAAGGAGTGGCTTCGTAAGAAGCATTTCAAGGTCCTGGAGTGGCCTAGCCAGTCTCCAGATCTCAACCCCATAGAAAATCTTTGGAGGGAGTTGAAAGTCCATGTTGCCCAGCGACAGCCCCAAAACATCACTGCTCTAGAGGAGATCTGCATGGAGAAATGGGCCAAAATACCAGCAACAGTGTGTGAAAACCTTGTGAAGACTTACAGAAAACGTTTGACCTGTGTCATTGCCAACAAAGGGTATATAACAAAGTATTGAGAAACGTTTGTTATTGACCAAATACTTATTTTCCACCATAATTTGCAAATAAATTCATTACAAATCCTACAATGTGATTTTCTGGATTTTTTTTTCTTATTTTGTCTGTCATAGTTGACGTGTACCTATGATGAAAATTACAGGCCTCTCTCATCTTTTTAAGTGGGAGAACTTGCACAATTGGTGGCTGACTAAATACTTTTTCCCCCACTGTAGGTCTGTAACAGTTTGGATCTAGAGTGTCACCCCCTTTGAAGAGGGGGATGACCGCGGCAGCTTTCCAATCTCTGGGGATTTCAGACGTTACGAAAGAGAGGTTGAACAGGCTAGTAATAGGGGTTGCGACAATTTCGGCGGCTAATTTTAGAAAGAAAGGGTCCAGATTGTCTAGCCCAGCTGATTTGTAGGGGTCCAGATTTTTCAGCTCTTTCAGAACATCAGCTGTCTGTATTTGTGTAAAGGAGAAGCGGGGGGGCATGGGCAAGTTGCAGCGGAGGGTGCATGGCTGGTGGCCGGGGTAGTGGTAGCCAGGTGGAAAGCATAGCCAGCCGTAGCAAAATGCTTGTTGAAATTCTCGATTATTGTAGATTTATCGGTGGTGACAGTGTTTCCTAGCCTCCATTGACTTTACAGTGTCCCAAAACTTTTTGGAGTTAGTGCTACAGGATGCACATTTCTGTTTGAAAAAGCTAGCATTTGCTTTCCTAACTGATTGTGTATATTGGTTCCTAACTGATTGTGTATATTGGTTCCTAACTTCCCTGAAAAGTTGCATATCGCGGGGGCTGTTTGATGCTAATGCAGTACGCCACAGGATGTTTTTGTGCTGGTCAAGGGCAGTCAAGTCTGAGGAGAATCAGGGGCTATATCTGTTCTTAGTTCTGAAGTTTTTGAATGGGGCATGCTTATTTAAGATTGAGAGGAAAGCACTTTTAAAGAACAACCAGGCATCCTCTACTGACGGAATGAGGTCAATATCCATCCAGGATACCCGGGCCAGCTCAATTAGAAAGGCCTGCTCGCTAAAGTGTTTTAGGGAGCGTTTGACAGTGATGAGGGGTGGTCGTTTGACCGCGGACCCATTACGGACGCAGGCAATAAGGCAGTGATCGCTGAGATCCTGGTTGAAGACAGCGGAGGTGTATTTAGAGGGTAAATTTGTCAGGATGATATCTATGAGGGTTTGGCCGGGCGGCCAGCTCTAGGAAGAGGCTTGGTGGTTCAAAACTTCTTCCATTTAAGAATGATGGAGGCCACTGTGCTCTTGGGGACCTTCAATGCTGCAGAAATGTTTTGGTACCCTTCCCCAGATCTGTGCCTCGACACAATCCTGTCTCGGAGCTCTACGGACAATTCCTTCGACCTTATGTCTTGGTTTTTGCTCTGACATGCACTGTCAACTGTGGAACTTTATATACAGGTGTGTGCCTTTCCAAATCATGTCCAATCAATTGAATTTCCCAAAGGTGGACTCCAATCAAGTTGTAGAAATATCTCAAGGATGATCAATGGAAACAGGATGCACCTGAGCTTAATTTCGAATCTCATAGCAAAGACATTTTTAAAAAAAAAAACTGTTTTCGCTTTGTCATTATGGGGTATTGTGTGAGGAAAAATTGTAATTGAATCCATTTTAGAATAAGGCTGTAACGTAACAAAATGTGGAAAAAGTCAAGGGGTCTGGATACTTTCTGAATGCACTGTATGTGATATCTGAGTGAGAATGAACTACCAAAATCAATGGGGGCCCCTTGGAGGTCAGGGCCCCTGGGCATGTGCCCTGCGTGCCCGGTCGATATTCACACATGATTACTACAAGTTTAGATAGCTGGCTAGACTAACTACTAATCTAAAAATGTTTAGCTGACGTGGGCTAATTGAGTGACTGTCGATGACTGACATAACAAGAGAAAAACTACTGATGCACAACCAAATTTCGAAATTGCACCTGGTGTATTCTACTATTCTTACTTTCAATAGTAAGATGATAAATAATCTATTTATTTGAATCTTTTTTGGGCTTTCATTCTTTAACAAACCTTTTAATAATTTTCATTTTTCTTATTTCCTTTTTTAAATTAAAGGCATGCAAAGGTAATGTTTAGGTGGTGATGTAGGCCTAGACTAGATCATTGTTTCTCTTGTATGGAATATTTTTACTTAGAGTGTCGACACACAGATGTTTTACCTAATGACCGATAATTGAAGCTCTGCAGACTGCAGCAAGTCTGAAAACTCGGCGAGTACAGTAAATAAAGGCAAAGATGGTGGTATTCTTCTCTGATAAAGCTGAAAAATCTGAGTCAGTCTGAATCGCACCACCAAAGTAATACAGCAGAGTGCAGTAGAGACGTAGAATTGGTGTATCCAGACATCAACAATCAACAACGACTGTTTCCCCCCCAGGAATCATAATCAACTGTCGATAGTATCTTCTTCTCTGTCAGGATGGCAGACCCCAACACTAAACAGATGCTACAGAAAAGGTAATATTTGTACTAATTTAGCCACAAGGTTATATTAATATGCACATTTTCTGGAACAATGTTGCTAGCCAACCAACTAAGATGTCAATGTATTTTTCTGGCTGGCAATGCTTGCTAGCAAAGAAGCAACACCCGGTAATGTTGTTAGCTATTCAGCTAGCTAGCTAGCCAGTGCCATGCCTCAGTAATATCAAAGACGATAGAACATCTCCGGTAATATTCAGTTGTGTGCTTTAACAGAGATAGATACGTCTCTGGCCTTAAGTGACGTGTTGTTAGTTTGTTGCTTAGCAAACGTAATGAATGTATCGTATCTTTTAATAGCTAACATTAGCTAACATCTGACGGTCAGCTGGGGCCTCGTTTATAAACCGTTCGTACATACAAAATATACCCCAAAAGTTGAATGCGCCAGTTTTTCATACAAAAGTTGGCATTTATAAAAATTGAACTTGACGTGAGAATGTGCTCGCCTCACCGCAAACCTTAGACCATGCTGTATGCACATCTGCTAGTGGTTGAAATATTGTATTACAAACTGGCAAATACATATTTTGATGAAAAGCTTACGTCACAAAAAACAGGAAACATATTAACAAGAATGCAGCCATTTGCCGTTAGTGATAAGAGTGTTTCTTTTTAGAATCTAAAATAGACAGGAATCTTATAATTACACAAAGGAATATTTTTCCTATTTATTTTATTTTCACAACCATAGAGTACCACAGTATGAGTCATAATACCCATAAAACCTAGCAGTCAAACAGGGAAATGGTTCCAATTGTTTTTCCACCATTCATTTTTCCCATAGGGGATTTTAGAAATACTTAAAGTAAGGGCTGTGTTTCGTGTAGGCTTACCCTGGCATGACGTTTTTATAACCGTGTAAATCTCTCTAGGACAAGGTGACTTTTATCAATATATTCGCCCCGTATTTACCCCCCAAAAATGAAATACTAATTAGCTGCTAATGCGGCTATCATAAAGAACTACAAATGCCATGATGGCCTGGTCCAGACTGCCGAACCAAGGCAAAGGTAAGAATCTCAAGAAATGTTAGCTAAATGTAGTAATGAATAAATTGGCAAAATGTATTTAAATGGACAATTCTGTGAACTGTCTTGTGCACGTTTTAAATTGACACAATACCTGTTAGCAAAGGCGTCGGCTAGAGATGATGTGCAGGAGCTTGCAGGGATTTGTAGTTTTGCATGATGTCTACTTTGATGCTAATTAGCATTTTCAAATCTGAGAGTAAATAGAGCCAAATATATTGATACAAGTCACCTTGTCCAAGAGAGATTTACATGGTTATCAAAACGTCACACCAGGGTAAGCCTACACGATACACAGCCCTTATTTGAAGTGTTTCTAAAATCCCCTATGGGAAAAATGTAATGGTGGAAAAATGATTGGAACCATTTCCCTGTTTGACTGCTAGGTTTTATGACACCTCCACTGTGGGGCTCTATTGCTAAATATATTGCTCACCTTTGAATGGAGGGCGTTTTCCAGGCAGAGTTTTAATGCTCGTTTACGTGCACAAAGTTTTACGACAGGTCTGATTTTATAACGGGAAACATGCGTATGTATCGCTTTCGCCAAGTTTATAAATCTCAATATCTTCAGAAATGGCACAAGCAGAAATGTTGTGTTAAATTAATGCAACGGTTATAAATGAGGCCCCTGATGATCAAGTGGTTATGTTAGCTAGCTAGCTAAGTTAGCCGGCTGCTAGCCATTGCGGTTTTGCTAGCTACAGTAACGTTAGCTCATCAAATAAGAAGGCTAAATCATTGCCATCTTGGAGATAAGTCTGACTAATGTTGCCATGACTTTGCCTGGCTACCCAAACTCCTTGCTCATTGCTACGCCACGCCCACGGACGTTAGTTTCTCTCCGCAATGGTCGAGTTTGTTTTGCATGGCCTGGTGCCACAGCTGGGTAGATTTGGTCATTTTGGACCATTCCATTGGTCCTTAAGTGAAATCTCCACCCACTCGGGGCACCGGGTCATGCAAAACTAACCTCACCATTGATTCTGGATCTGAGTACCTCCCTGACGAATTCTAGAATGGAAATCCACTCTAGACGTCTGATTGGTCCCAGAAAACCGATGGGATTTCTGGGACCCATCGCAGAACACGTGGGTAAAGCGGCGTTTTGGAAAAAAATCCTCATTGGCTTTGATACTCCCAATTGGTTAGAGATGATCCAATCGCTGATTACTTTTTGTACACATCCCCTCATATTGACGTCACCACAAACGACTTTAAATTATGGCAGACGATAGAGCAGCGGGAAATAATTCAGTTTGAGTCGTCAGGCAAGCCATGACTAGCTACCATCACAATTTCATGTATTTTCTGCCAACTCTTGCAGTGCCAACATTGCTGCTGGAGCAGTTGTGTGTGTAGAAAGTGAAATAAGAGGAGATGTGACCATCGGTAAGACTTTAGTCACACTCTATACTGTTTTATCCATTTTCTTCCAAATCAGAATAAGCACGCTCCCTGTGCTGTGTCGCATTATAGATGCGTATCAACCGTCTATTCCTTCCGGCAGGTCCAAGAACAGTGGTCCACCCCAAAGCACGTATTATAGCTGAGGCAGGCCCTATAATCATTGGAGAAGGTAACCTGATCGAGGAACAGGCCCTGATCATTAACAGGTAGGTCACAACTGCAGTTAGCTGTGTATCCATACGTCCAAGTCAGTTTTAACACGCTCTTTTTATTCCTCTACATTTTGCCTCTGATCTTTTAGTTATCCAGAAAATATTATGCCTGACACTGAAGGGGTTGAACCCAAGACCATGACGATTGGAATCAACAATGTGTTTGAAGTCGGTTGTGGTATCCTTCTACTGCGCGTGATCACAATGACCGGTTGTTGTGGACCATTTGCTCAAGGAAACTAGTGTGATGTTATTGCTTTTTTTTAAATGAGGGACATCTCCTAAAGGCTAGTTTAACTAATGTCTATACAAGAGGAAAAATAACAAAGTATTGTAATGACATGTTGATTTTGTGTTATCTCCCAATGATTTTTGGAGCAGTTGAAGAAAATGTCTGACACTCATCACCTTTAACCTTTAACCCTCAACCAACTTCTCATGTTTAACCCTCAACCAATTTCTTAAGTCTCTCAAGCATTGAAAATTGGGGACAACAATGTAATCGAGTCAAAAGGTATGGTACTGTATGTGACGGCAAAAATATGCTTATAAAACGCATGGTGCCCATACGTAAGCCATTAAATGATGCACCCTCCTGCTGTTATTTGGAAGCCATTTTGAATGCAGTCTGTATGATGACGAAACACCCCTCGCTTTCTGTCCCAGCGGACCTAGGGAAGAACGTCATTCTCACCAGTGGCTGTATCGTCGGCGCTTGTTGCCAGGTGAACACGTGCGAGGTCATTCCCGAGAACACAGTCATCTACGGGTCCAACTGCATGAGGCGTGTGCAGACAGAAAGGCCTCAGGTTTGTCCCTGCCATTAATTCCACCTAGCTCCTCAGTAAGGAATATACTAGACAAATGATGTTTGAGTCATTTATCCAGAGTGGCTTACAGGAGCAGTTAGGGTTAAGTGACAAGTGACGTTTTTTTTTTTCACCTAGTCGGCTCGGTTATTCAAACCAGCGGCCTTTCGGTTACTGGCCCGTCGCTCTTACCCGCTAGGCTACCTGCTTACCCCATGTGCCAGTGTCCATACTATAATACCACTGAGAATGCTAGCCCAATACATCACGTTATTCTTAATGGTATGCCAGCGTGGTACAGAAACCTATAGTATTAAGTGACTGTGGTAAAGGACACCAACAAAATATTTGTATTCTCCGTCCAATGCTAGTGGTTGCATTAATATTGTCATCAGGGGATAGCTAATCCATTTTATGATTAAAATGCTTAGGATTTATTTTGTCTTCTAATATTGTAATCTCTGACAGCTGATTTTAAAATGTTGTAAATTGTTCTAACAAAAATGTATCTTCCAGCCTCAGACGCTCCAGCTAGATTTCCTCATGAAGATCCTGCCCAACTACCATCACATGAAGAAGACTGCCAAAGGAACCTCCACCCCTGTCAGAAACTAACCTCTGACTAACCGAAGATCAGCATTCCCTGACGCTCACCAGACCTTAACAATGAAAGGTGTAGAGACTGAACTTGTCCTACACCAGTTGTCCTACACCTGTTGTCCTACACCAGTGGTCCTATACCAGTGGTCCTACACCAGTGGTCCTATACCAGTGGTCCTAGACCGCATAAGAAGTAGTTTCTCTCCTCTGAGGCATGAGAGCACATTTCTAGCTTTTCTCACTTCCCAATCATAAGAGAGAGCCCATATTCAGCACTCCATTGGGTCATTAGCTAAACCAATAGTAAAACAGTTCCTGGTTTTCTTTCATATTCGTCTATTATCTTGCTCTTTTTTTATTGTAGATTATTATTTTTTTTGTCTGTTCAAATGTCATATGTTGTTTTTCTGTCTTAAATTGAGCAGATTCTGTTTTTATGTTAATATATAAAGGATATTTTTCAGCTTTGGTTGTTGTGAAATATAAAGCAATTCAAAAGAAACAATGAAGATGGATTCATTCTTGTGTGGTTGTTCACAGACTAGTATAGGCCCTGAATGTATGTAGTTGTATGTAAACAAAGTATAAAGCTGGTGTTGATTGCTTTTTCTAAGCTGTAGGGAAAGCGTATTGCGCCACATAACGCTCCGTTTAGATTAGACGGACGGTAGGCTCAGTAGTCCATGGAAGATTTGCTTGACGTTTTTTTGACGCTATTTGTGTGATTTCCACAAGGAGGTGCCAGTGAGGGATTTATCGCCTATTGTAGCTTACCCTCCACCCATATCAGTCACAGATACATTAAACACACACTGGTCATGAGACTAGCCACGGGTTGATCTTATTCGTTTAGTGGACTGTTTTTTTAAGAAGTCAAGAAAGCATTTTCTGATATCTAAACAGGTTAGTCTGATTGTCTTTCATCTGATGGGGGGGGTGTTGCCATTTATAAACTAATTTAACACGATTCAAATACAATTATACTACCTCCTTTAAAAGTAGGAATACAAATCCCAGAACATGATATCAAGCTCAAATTATACTACTAATCTGTACATATTCAATATTCATTGCAAATTCATGCATGGGTCATTCTACGAATAGAGTGGCTTTCGGGTAGAGTAATTTTGTGAAAAATAGCTATTTATTTGACCTAATTTTAACATTCTGTCATAAAGAGCACATGTTCAACTTCATAACTATTATCTCAAGAAGTTAAATTAAGAAAGATTACTATAAAAGTGACAGGGTTGATGATTTAATCTTAAATCAGCCATAACACCCCTTGTGACAGGGAGCTTGTTGTGTGCAACAGGGAGGGGAAATTGAATGCAAGCTTAACAACAATATTTGAACTTTACAGGGTTGACTTTAAACCTGAGGGACAAATGTAAATTCATCACTCATCACATTAAATAAATAACAATCTTCAGAAATTCCTTTCTCAAAGCAACAAAATAACTAGGGCTTTACAGCAATGGTGACATTTTGGGAGTTAAGTGGGTTAAAATCTTCCTAGATGTTGGACAAACATGGCGTGGGACATTCAGAGAAAACAAGTAATTTATTTGAATAAAAACACACTATTGGATTTGAGTTTACTTTAGTTAATGTGCAGATGTATGTGATTCAACTGTTAAATTGAGTGTTTTATCAAAATGTACACACATAATGTCCGGGGGACATGAAAGGCACTCTATTCGTGGAATGACCCAAATACTCAACAAGACTATATTACACAGTCTTTGTTTGGACCAAAGAAACTAGGAGTGGCCGACACTTTGCCGAAGGCGTTAATCTTCTAAGGCAGCGTGACATGGTGCTTCCTATCAGGGGTTGTCAGAGAGGAGCCGTGCGCTACAGGCCAGCACAGTGGGAGCTCTAGATATACAGCTGGTACGCTGTGGTGGGCAGGGGTGTGGCAGCTATCCCTACTCTCACTACGGAGCAGGGCGGAACAATGGCTGCCCAAAGGCTGTTCGTTAGAGCCCCCTGCTTGGTGTTCCGAGGCTGTTCCATAGAGCCCCCTGTGTGGTGTTCCGAGGCTGTTCCATAGAGCCCCCTGTGTGGTGTTCCGAGGCTGTTCCATAGAGCCCCCTGTGTGGTGTTCCGAGGCTGTTCCATAGAGCACCCCTGTGTGGTGTTCCGAGGCTGTTCCATAGAGCCCCCTGTGTGGTGTTCCATCTGCACCACAGACAACCCTCTCCCGTGTGTGTGTGTGTGTGTGTGTGTGTGTGTGTGTGTGGGTGTGTGGGTGGGTGGGTGGGTGTGGTGTGTGTGGTGTGTGAGGGGAGCTTTTTAATGTATTTTTTTTATCTACTTCCCTACCAGGCACAGACGTCATTTCAACGTCTAATTTACATTTATATTTGGTTGTTGTCAACTAACGTGAATTCAAAGTGAAATCAACAAGACATGTCACCATGTCATTGGATTTAGGTTCAAACTTAGGTGAAAAAAAGACGTAATTCCCTGACGTTGACGACTTTCAGCAAATACAATCATATTGTTGAAATGACGTTGAAACAACGTTGATTCAACCTGTTTTTGCCCAGTGGGTCCTTTGGATATGTAGACAAAAGAGAATGGAGTGTGTGTAACCTGTCATTGTTGTGAAGACAGCACAGGCGAAAAGCCAGTTTTTCTAAATAAATTAAACTATTCACAAACTAGGACACACTTCAAACTCTCATTTGAGGAAATCACTCAAAGCTATGTATCTGTTGCATCTCCAAAGTGATTCAAGCAACAGATACAGTCGAACGAGGTCAAATGTTTTGTTATGTTAAACACGAGATATATCCAAGTCCCTGGTTGCACAAACTAGAT